CATCCCCTCTGTGCTCCCCTGATCCCAATCCACACCACACCCTGAGCCCAGTGCCAGCTTCACCCCGGTGCTCTCAGGACAGGGACGGTCCCAGCTTCATTTCCCACCTGATGGATCCTCAACAGCACCATCTTGGTCACCTCCTGGCTCCCTGCAAAAAAGGTTTAAAAAGAAGCCATGGCCCCAGTGTGAATCAAGTCCTGATCAACACTGGAAAGCAGGGACACATCTGTCCCTTTGGGGGTAGCACCAGCCCTTGGAGAGCAACCTCTGTCCTCAAGGCATCAGCTGGAGAGTGTCAGAGGGGTCACAGCTGTCAGGGATGGGCTCACAACACCCTCCTTGAGTATCTGCCAACAGCCAGCACTGTTTAGGGCTGGTTTGCTTTTCTGCCTGCATTAGGGAGCAGAAATGCCCCATTTCCTTCCCTGGACTGCAGTGAAGGCTCCACAGCAAGCCCCAGGTCCTGGTTTTTATGCAAATAACCTTGAACTTGGTGTGAAGGAGGCAAGGTCACCCCTTTGCTGTGACACTTGGGGGAAATCTCACAGAAATCTCATTCCTTTGGGGTCTGGCTGAGATACAAAACCTCCTCAGGGGATAATTTTGGTCTRTGAGCTGTGCTGGCAGCAGAGGGACTGGAAGTGTCCAGTCCATGGCTGGAGTGAGGGGACACACAGCCWCCTCCCTGGAGGGGAATCCATGGATTTAGAGAGGGAGACAGGGAAGAGATTGTGCTCTGAAGGGCTGGAGGTTATGAAAAATGTATCCACATCCAAATKATTTCACTCTAAAAGTGCCATCATTACCTTCAGCGCTGTCTGCTGAGAGCAACTGGGTCTGTAAGGAAACAGACTGGGAATCAAAGAGCATTTTTGGGTAATTTTTGGCAATTTCTCCTCTCACTGCAGAATATTATTGCAAAATACATTTAAAAACAGAGCAGAAAATAACAAATGGAGCACAGAGATTCCCCAAAAGCTGCATYCCTTCAGCTGGGAGGGGCCAGCTCAGGCCCTTTCCTCTCCACAGCACAACCACCAGGCCATGAGATGCCACCCTGTCACACCCCACGTGCCACTTGGGTCTGATGACAAGGACAAGATGCTCCAAACTGGAATTTAAAGTTGTTCTGACAGAGTGGGTGACTGGTGCTGGTGAAATTCATGCAGTGCTTTGTGTTTAACGAGTGCCAAATAGAGTAAAACATCACRGAACTTGAAATGGGGCTTGAAATTAGGCTTAGTCTGAGATCAGCAAATATTTTAAGGCTGCTTAGAGTTAAACATCTGCTTAAATGCTCTTAATGAGCCAAGAACTCTTTTTTTAAAAAAATGATCATTATAATTTCACTTGCCTTCTTTTCCTGGGTGTTCGTGGCCTTGGGCTCCTGCCCGATGTGGGAGCTGAGTGCATCCATCTCCAAAACTTCCTGATGGTCCTGGGATAATGGRGGGCACAAAATGTCATCTCTTTCTTCACCAGGAGACAAAAAAGGAATGAGAAGATGGGAACTTCTTGTAAAAATGACTAAAAACTCTGATAAAAATGGGTTTGGAGCCACCTCTTGCCCTCAGCAGCCAGGGAAGCTGTCTGGATTTTTATTCACCATGGGAATGTCCTGCAAAGGGCAGGAGATGTGCCACCAGATACAAAGGCTGCTGGTGACCATCTCAGGTCTTCTCACTAGCCTGTAAAAAGCAAAAGCAGCTTTTTTATTTGCCAAATTCAAGCSTTGAGGGCAGGGACAGCTGTAGCCCTTAAAGTATCAATTCCTTGCCAAAAAAAAGAGGGACACAGGGAGGGTGAACCCTCTCCCACTGTAACAAAACCTTCCCCCAAACCCCTCAGCCTAACTCCATGGTCTCATGGAATCTTCATGTGGAGATCCTTGGGGAARCTGAGGAACTCTAAATTCACCTGASGTCTCRTGTTCCCCTSTAGGTCCTTCCTGTGAGGGAATGTCCTTCCCTTGAGGGAAAGGCAGCAGGAAGAGAGAATTCAGCCACAAATGTGGGGGAAGGAAGCGATCAAAYGTGGCCTCCTGTGGTCCATCTGGCTTGCAGCATCTCCACCCCAACCTGCTGGGGAAAGCGAGGAGAGGAATTGTCTCTGAGCTCACGGGCTCAGCAGGCTCTGTGCACTGGCACTGCGTGGGGGCTGGCTGGAGGGAGCTGTCACAAAGGATTTATGGCACACTGGAGAGGGGGAAAAGGCAACAGAAGGGCTGGAATCTGCAGAAGAGGACATTCCCCACATCCCTGGTGAGACAGACAGGGTTTTGATGCTCTAAAGAGAGAGGGGAGATCTCCAAAGCACGGATGTGTCAGGAGGATGGAGAGGGAGGGGGCCAGGAGCTGTTCCTGCCTGACACCAGCAGGGAAGGCAGGGACCAGGGTGGGGCAGGGATGGTGCCCAGGGGAAATGCTGCTTTTCCAACAGAGCAGGGAATGAGGGGGCCAGAGCATCAGTGGGGTTCTGTTATAGGGGGCTCTGGAGCTTGCAGGGATGGCTGGGCTGAACAAATGTAAATGATCTGGTCTGGGTGGATCCACTCCTCAGGRGCTGATTTGGTGATGGGACAGAAGAAGAGGGAAAAAAGCACATCCAGGAGACTTATGATGGAAAGGGGAGAAAGAAAACCGTCATCAAATCCAGGAGCACCCAGAAGCCTTTCACTGATCTGGGGGATGCTTAAACTCCCATGGGTTCTGATATCCACCAGGACACAGGGATCACAGGAGATCCCTTTATGGACCCCCCGTGTCACCCAGCTCTGACCACCTGCAGCTGGCACCTCCCAAAAATAGGGATTTTCCCAGGGCTTGGCAGGGAACTTGCCATCTCCYTGAAGGTGAGAAGCAGCAGCAGGGCAAGCAGCAGGGCTGGCTGGCACCTTCTCCCTCGGGGTGGAGGACACACGGGCAGGATGTGTGTCTCACACATGCTGGGGTTGGCTGTGGCAGGAGCTGCTGTGTGGAAATCACCTTCTCCCACCTCCTGCTCTCCTCCTTTTCCCTCTGTCCCTGCCTCTGGGAGTGGCCAGCTCAGTGTGGGTGTCCCTCAGGCATGGCCAGGCTGTGCCCGGCGCTCTGGGCAGTGCAGCAGGTTCTGGACAGTCGGGCTCTGCTCAGAACCTGCTCCAGCAGCTTCCCCCTCTCCTCCAGAGCCCATCCAAAYGCAGCCAATGCCTCCTGCTCTTTCCCAGCTCCTCCTCCTGGGATTCACAAGGAGTGGGTGCAAGAGACACCCCCAGTGTGAGTGAGACCTTGGCTGTGCTTTGCTCCAAGTCCTGGCAGGATTTCTCCTCTCCTGGCAGGGTTTTTCCCCTCCTGGCAGGCAGGAGAGAGAGAAATGAGACAGGGTTGGACTCATATGCAAAGGAGGTGCCACATAACACAGGAAAACCTGGAAATGCTCCTTCCCTGAGCTCACCTGAGTAGGGAGCTCGAGTCGGGGAATCCCCCAGCTCCATCCCTCCCCTCCTCCTGGAGAGTCGAGTCACAGGGAAGAAAAGGCAAATCCTCACTTGTTGCCAGAGACAGAGAGAAAACTGGAGAGGAGGGATGAGGATGGGAATGGAGAGTGTGGGCGAAGGGAGTGGGGAGCAATCCAGGATGTCCAGAGCTGTGCGGGAAACAGGGAGGACTTCCTGGGCTGTACCACTCCTCCCCTGCATCCCCTCAGTGCTGGGAAGGCAAAATCGTGGGGGAAAATCCACAGGAAAASCCTGGAAAACCCTGCTATAACAGAGTGTGGAGCAAAGCCAAACCCAGGTGGGTGGCACCAGAGCATGGAACTCATGGCTGGGGCTGAGCCATGAGAGCGTCACCCTGGGGAAAGGGGAGGAAGAACATTCCCTCACATTCCTGATCCAACAATTCCCAAGGCTCAGCTTGGCACCACCTGGCCTTACACTGGAGTGATTTTGGGGGGACACAGGGCAGGAAGGAGCCCCTTGTCCAGCACAGGAGCACATAAACCCTGCCTAAGAGGGTTCCCTTCTCTGGCTGAACCCCAAATGCCGACCTGCAGCTGGCCCAGCAGCTGCTGTGTTTGCAGGAGATAGCATTGTGCACTGGGCAAACATTGGGTGATGGAGAGCCATCCCCACCTTCCTGCTACCAGGTAAAAACATGTGCAGAGAGACTWGGGAGGGAGCTGCAGGCTGGGCTCCTCTTTGGGGAATGGGGTGGATTGRCATTATCCTGGGAAAGGGAGTAACTGTGAGGGGATTGTTCACTGGGTACCCTGTTGGGATTAAATGGGATTTATTTGAACATGGGTGACCACCTCATGTCAACTGAAATCCAGTTATTTGCAAGGGATTTGGAATTCTGGAGGGCCTCCCTTGGTGTCTCAGCATCCCCTTTSTGGGCACACTTCCTACAGCCAGAATCAACCTGGGATCAGCAAAAGCTGAAGGAAAAGTGTGGGAGCAACAAACCTTTGGAAAATGTGACTMATTTTTCAGGAAGAGGCGAGCTCAGAGGAGTGGTGGTTTATGAACTCTTTTATTTTCACTCGCACCAAAGTCCCTCTCAAAAACGTAGGGTATAAAGTCCACGTAAAGAAAACACCAGGAAAAGGCACTGCTTTGGGCTTCTCTTCTTTTGCCTCGGAGGCTTCAGTCCAAAACCTGCTGTGTTTCCAACTTTTCTGACRTAGGAAGCTGCCAGAAGTGCCAGGAGGTGAAGAGATAACATCCCTCCTGGGAGGCCGTGCCTCTCTTTAGGAATTCTTTCCTTGGAGAAGCTCATGAGAAGGCTGAAAGTCTGTTGGGTTTGGAAAGGTTTGGTTCATGAGCACCTCTCAGGACACAGAACCGAGGCAAAGGTGTCCTTGGAGGCCACGTCCCAYGGATACCCACCACCACTGTCAGCATCCCAAGGGAATGGGGATGRTGGTTATGGAAAGTCCTTTCTTTCTCCTACAAAGCCAGACACTGACAGAGCGGGGATTGTGTTTGCAAAGATCACCCCTGTCCTCTTTACTCCGTGTCACTCAACATCCTCAGAGCCTGGGGGCTCCCTGTGCTTGGCATTCTGGATCAGGTCCTCGTAGGTGCTGGGGCAGTAGGTTTTGTAGAGTTTCTCAGCCAGGGTGTTGCTGCCGGCCACCACCACCTTGCGGTTGCGGTTCATGAAGTTCCACAGGTGCAGCGCGTAGGAGTGGTTGAAATTGGGGCTTTTGTCCCACACCTGGTAGTAGCGGCTCCAGGCCGGGTACGGGATGGGGTAGAAACGCTGMGGGTTGAGGAAGGAGATGTTCTGGCAGCTGTGGTCCTCGGTGCCCTGGAAATCTGTGAGGTTGCAGAGGGTCTTGAGCATCCTGGTCATGAGAAAGGGGCCCTGGTTGCCCCAGATGTTGCCGTTGTACTTGAGGACGAAGTTCTCCATGCAGTCCCAGACRAACTTGTGGCGGGCGGGGAAGCCGAAGATGCCGTTGCTGGAGAAGCGGGATTTCTGCGCCGCCAGGAAACTCTCCTGGGGGATGGGCCGGATGGAGATGACGTCCGTGTCCATGTAGATGCCGCCGTACTTCCAGATGAGCGCCAGTCTGCTGGCGTCMGAGCTGACGTGAACCCAGTTCTTCTCCTGCTCCGGGACCACCTGCGGGGTGGGAGAGGTGAGATGGGCAGGGAACGGCACCATAAACCCACTCCTGCACAGCTGCAAACGGCACTGACATTTGACTGGGATTTTATTGGGATTTTATTGGGATTTGACTGGGATTTTATTGGGATTTGCCTGGGATTTTATTGGGATTTTATTGGGATTAGGGAAGGAACCGGAGCAGGGAACGCTTCCTTAACACAAAGGAAAGCAGGAACATTTCCCGAGTGGTTCAACAGCACCTACAGCGTTAACCCAACACCACCATGAGTCATTCYCTGCTATTTCAGTGGGACACAACCCACTTAACACACTCCCTCCTGGCCCCCTCCCAGCTCTTTGAACCAGGCTTTTCATCGGTGTTTGTTGGCTTTTGGAGCAGTCTTTTCTCCAGAGAAGAAAGAGTTTGGAGGAAATCTGCCTGCTCTGCCCAAGCAATTTGACCAAAGCTGCTCGAGGGCAGTTTGCCAGGAACTTTTTTCAGGGTGGAGCTCAGCAGATCCCACCTTGGCTTTGCGTGTTGCTGTTACAGAACTTGAAATCTCTGCCCTATCTCTTATCTCCCGTGGGCTCCGTCAGARTGAGGCGGCTCTAACAAGTGCTCAGGCAGCACATTTTGTACAACCAGCTTCTGTTGGGGGAGATTATTAAGGCTGTTTTCTCAAAACACGTCTGCAATCAATTTTTACTCGTGTTCCCTTTGCCAAAAAACCCCATTCCCCAGATAAGGGGGAAAACGCCGATCACGTATTCCATAAACTGAGAGAKGAATACACGGCAGAACGCGGCCAAAATTAATCTATTCCCAACTGAAACAATAAAAGTCACTAATTTCACATAGTCCTGCCTTCCTCACTCTTTTTAAAGCCTTTTCCCACCCCTATCTGTAACAATTTTCCTGTTTTCCCCTTGTTTTAACGCTCACCTGGTTGTACCACTGGAGCAGAGGGGTCTCCTGGAAGACGGTTTCCATCTGGAGAGGGAAAATGAAGACGTTCTTCATGGAAGACAGGAGGGAGAATGCCGTGTAGCTGGTGTTGAGGTCCAAGGCTGTCTCGTTGGTGAGTCCCCTCAAGAAGAGGATGATGGGYCTGTCCCGGTAGATCCGGGCAGCGGATTCCACGGAGCACGACACCAGCGGGGGCGGCTCCAGGCGCTCCGTGGTCTCCAGGAAAATGATGCTCTTGCCGAGGTTCAGCACCTGCTCAGGCGTCAGGTACTGCTGGGCCATGGGCAGGTAGGAGGAGACGCAGCCGGACAGCAGGGAGATCTCGTACAAAATGCCCGAGACGAAGCAGAAACAGAGGCATATCTGGATTTTCCTCAACATTCTTGCTTTCCTGGAGCGTTTGGGGGCGTGCCTCCGACATGGATGCTGAGGGGAGATGAGGAACAGCGACAGGAGATGGCAGTTATTGCTCAAAGGGACTGGGAAAGGGAGGGATGTGGCTTTGGATGGTGGAAGGKGATGGCAGTTTGATGACAAGCCTGGTGACAATCCCTCTAAGGGCACAGAGGGCTCTTCCCTGTGGGATGAAGCTCTGGGGTCCCACCTGCTCACCCCCAGCCAGGCAGGGGGAACCAGGAGAGGTTGTGCAGAAGGGATGGGCAGCTGTGACCCATGGTGCAGGCAGAGATTTTGGCAGGGAGACCACGGCGAGAATGGTCACCAAGCCAAGGCAAGCAGCTCCAAGGCCACCCCTGGGGCAGGAAACTGTTCCTGAGCCCTGCAGAGCCATTCCAGCAGCGCTTGTCCGGGGGAATCTGTGAAGCCCAACGTGCCCAAGGAGTGAAGGGTCCAAGGGGGCTGTGAGTGTCCCAGGAGGAGTGGGTGATCACAGCTTGGGGTGTGTCACCACACTGAGAACATCAGCATGGCAGAGGCTTTTCCCCARCCCATCCCTTCTGCTCACACTTCAGCCCTGAGGAATCTGAGGGATGTGGGTCCTGCAGGGATGGAGCCTTGTGATGGACCAGATGCAAGGGTAGGAAGTGGATGGTTTCAGGCAAAGAAAGMATTAGGACCTACCTGGATTATGGTCCTGACAAATCTACATTTCCAGCTCCTTCTCTTGCCCTGGCGGTGGCAGCTGGGCTCCTGCAAAGCCCAGCTCCCTGGCGAGGACACCCAAACCGTCTGGAGCATGCAAAGGGATTTCTGGAGGCGGGAGGATGGAGCAAGGGGAAAACCAGCTCTGCTTCCGACTCAATCTCAGTCCCAAAAACGCTGTGGGAGCCACCTAAAAGGACAAACRAGGTTTGGTGAGACCTATCTTGTGCCTGGCCCTGCTCCTCCCTCCCAATCCCACTGGGATTTGGGGCCATACAGCCCCAGGGACTCCCTGCTGGTGCAAGGCAGGATGGAATTATCTGCACTGGACTCTGGCACAAGGGAATTCCCTCCTGAAATGTCACCTGAGTGGCTCTGCTGGGATTGGGAGCCAGGGTCCACCAGAGGGGACACACTTGGACTGACAACCCAATGTCTGAGCGGCCCTGGAAGTGTCCAGAGYGTGATTGATTGAAGGGAATGGCAGGAAACACAGCTCTGTGTGCTGGGATAATTAATGAGCCRCATTCCTTCCAGAATGCTGATAACTCCGGAGTGGAGCAAACCCCGTAGAAATTCCCTGCCAGCGCCAGGCTCGCGCTTGGAGCTGTGGCAGCTCCCAATCCATTTCCTAGAGCTGGATCTCATCAAATTAAATATTAAAGCAGTGGCTGTTCCCATCAGTGCTGCTTCCCGTGCTGTATAACAGATTTGGGTTATTTTCCATTCCAGCAGCACAGRGCTTCTCATCATATCCTGRGTTCCCAGGACAGCACRGGATATTGGGAAGGAATTGTTCCCTGTGAGGGTGGTGAGAGAAGGGTGCCCAGAGAAGCTGTGACTGCCCCTGGATCCCTGGAAATGTCCAAAGTCAGGCTGGARCACCCTGGGACAGTGGAAATTKTCCCTGCCYGCAGCAGGGGTGGCACTGGATGGGCTCTAAGTTCCCCTCCCACCCAAACCATTCTGGGATTCCATATAATTCCCTGTTAATTTTTCCAGTCCCATTCCCAGTTTCTCTCTGCTGTGAGTGGCAGCACCCAGGGCCTCCCTGCAGATAGGGGATTGGAACGGAAGAAAGGGAATGAAGAGCAAACAGCCGCGGTTTGGAAAGGCTGCRTTGCCGAGCCTGCAGATAAGGCAGCGTGTGCTGCCCCGTGCTGCTCAGGTGGGGCAACCTGCCCACTGCCCAGCCCCACAGGGCTCRGGARACACCAGCACTGRGGTTAAAATGAACTACAGTGCTYAATCTCCAAAATTCMCTCYCTCCTTCCCCACCTGCCTYGCTCTCASACAGGTGCAGTTSATTTAYTCCSGTCATTTRAAAACAGAAAGAAAATGTTGCTCCYTGGTAACTCTGTCACYAATCTCATCTTGGCCAGGGTTTTAGGTYGGTTTTGGTTTTTYTKGGGAGTTGGAAGGGATCATAGAGCCCAYCTCATTTCAACCCCCTTCCACAGGAGTTCACACCTCTCAGASTCCAGGGCAGGAAGGTTTGGGGGTATCCTTCCAGGAATCTCAGGTGGGTGATCCAATGGTGCTCCTGTACCCCTCAGGCAGGGACACCTTCCACTGTCCCASGCTGYTCCAAGCCCTGTCCAACTCTGCCAGGGATCCAGGGGCAGCCACAGCTTCTCTGGGCACCCTGTGCCAGGGCCTGCCCACCCTCACAGGGAACAATTCCTTCCYARTATCCCATCCAAYCTGTGGCAGTTAAAGCCATTCCCCCCTGTCCTGTCACTCCAAGCCCCTGGAAACCATTCCTGCTGCTGCTCCAGTGCCAGCCAGGGACTGGAGCCACTCTGCTGCTTTTTAAATCTTGATGCCACTCTCCTGAAGCAGAAACCCTCGGCTTGGCTTTGATTAGAGTTGGGACCATCGGGACATTCCCATTACTGGATTCATATTTCTCCTTTGATGGCCGGCAGATCTGATGGCTCAGGTCTTTACGAGCAGCCCAGCAAACTCCTTTCGATTTGAAACAGTYCGGGAGGCATTTTATTTGCAAATTGTGGGCAGAGAATGAGGAGCCACTCCAGCACCTCCCTGCTCTGCGCACGACATSGTGAAGAGAAACACGAATCTGCATCGGCTCATTCCGGGAAATTGTTTTGCTTGGTCGCTTCTCCAAAACCCCTGTGTGGCGAGTTACGAATTCTCATCACATTTGACCCGGAGGCTGCTGTTATCGCAATGTTCCCTTCCCTGCTCGAGTTAAAAGGACTGCGGAGCCGAATGTTAAAAATAAATCGCGGCCATTGAATAGATTACCCTGCTGAGTGGGACCATTCCGGGATGCGGCTGCTGCCTTGATGGCCCATCTTGTGAAGAGATTTCTTTTCTCGGGGCAATTTCCGTGTTACAAGTGCGGGATGAGAACGGCTGGGAGGCTACCAGGGACATTACTACGGATGCCTGTGATAACTCCTCGAGGTGAAGTGCTAGGAATACGGCGGGATTTTTACAGAAAATGCCACCAAAGAAGGGCAGTGATCATGCTGGGGTGCTGGCAGTCCTATATGATACCCCCAGAGTCCCTGCTGTGACTGAAGRGAACTCCCTGGGACGGCCCAGGGGCATCACCGGCCCCGCAAGGACTCGGGCTTAGCTTGAGCAAAATCCTAAAGGATTTTTTAAAATATATAAATAAAATTTATTTTTAAAAAATGAATTAACAATAAAAAATGCCAGCACCCGCAGGTGGCAGTTTGCCCAGCCCTTAAGCCTAGCCCTGATTTCAGTTTTAGACCCTCCAAAGCGAGTCAGCCGCAACACAAAGTGCAGTTCCTGTACCACAGGTAAATATCGCACATCTCGCAGTCCTCTGGCAAACCCCACTGAATCCGCATTCTCACAGCTTCTGGAATCCCTCGGGATTCAAAGCAGACACCTCCATCCCCGAGGCCCGGCGGGGTTTTTTTTTGGGGTGCACCCGCCCTGATTCTGGGAATAACCCCGGGCAGTCCCTGATTTCCGCACGAACAGCCTGACCACACACGGGAGCATTTTTGTGTCCTTACGGGATCTGCTTGAGGAAATTACGGTTGCAATCGAGTTAGTAATTCTCGTTCACACGCCTCAGACCCAAATTCCCCACGGATCGAGCACCGGGTACTCTCGGAAAGCGCTTTCCGATGGAAAACCTGCGCCAGGACTTAGCGGATTCGTGWCGGATTAATGAATTAATTAATGCAGCCTATCTGATGCAAACGAAGGGGCTTCTCACCGCKCCGTGCCACACCCGCCTTCCCATTTCCCAGCTCAACAGGTTCGCATAGGGCGCAGAACTCAGAACTCACCCGCGGGCTGCCAGGAGCGGGCGAGCTGCGCCGGCGGCGGGGAAGCCTCGCTGGGAAGGTTCCGCAGGCGATGCCGAGCCCCGGGAGCTGCTCTGCCTCGCCGCCGTGTCGTGCCCTGGCAGGGCTCGGAGCAGCCTCATGGCTCGCTCGGCAGCGGCTCTGCGCTCCGCATGGCCCGGCTGCGCTGATAAGGCCGGGCTGGGGCTGTGCTGTGCCCGCAGTGGGCAGTGCGAGGTGCTCCGGKGACCAAAGGTGAGCCCCGCCGCTCTGCCAGCGTCACAAAGGATGGGTGGGACTGGGAAAAGGCGCCTTTCGGGCTTGGTTTGAGGCGCATTCAGCCTTTGTGTTCAGATCCGCACCTACAGGGGTTGTTGTAGGGCAAAGGAGAATTTCGCTGAATGGGATGGGTGCACTGGGTACTTCCAAGGAAGGCAACAGAAGGGTTTCCTACACAAACACGTCCCAAATAGCCCTGCACGTCCGCACCCGGCCGCCTGACAGGCTCCCGTGCTGGCCCAGGCGGGTGGGGATGTTCCCTGACCCTACAACCCGGCCCCGGTGGGATCTTTGAGGGGTACAGGAGCACCAGCGGGGCACTGCAGGATTGATAGAACCCAACTCAGATTGGAAAAGTCCTCCCCTGAGCCTCCCTGACCGTGGATATGAGCTCCGGTGGCCATCCTATGCTGGAACAGGATTTCTAAGGGAGAATTTGTCAGGGAGAGATGGAGGCGCATCATCCCGAGCTGCCGGGTGCATCCCCTGGTCCAGAGCTGCCCAGCCCATGTGAGGACACCGCAGCATCCAGCTGGGATGTGACCCCTGGTGCACAGAAATGAGGGTCTTTGCAGCCCTCCTTCTCTTTTTCCTTTCCTGCATTTTGGCCAAGTTGTATATCAGAAATGSCAGGCGAGCTGGAAGCTTCCTCCAGCCAAGGGGTGCCGGCAGCACCACGTGCTGCCCACACCCAAACATAGCGAAACCCCCCTTTCCCACCCAAAACCCCACCTCTCTCCACCACCAATGCTTAGAAACCGCCAAAAACCCCTCTCAGCTCATCCCCTCCGCAGCGTGCGATGCACCAAAAGCACARCCGCGAATATTCCGGGGCGTTGCCATTCGCTGGGGGCCAGCTC